TTGTAATTGATTAAGCTTGTGTATAGGTTATGAGGTGTTTGTTGGCTTAGTTATGTCGGTTAGGTTGTGTGGTTGATCAAAACATGATGGAAAAACTTGGAACTTATACGGGCATGAATAAAATGGAGTAGCAAGGAAAGAAAAATAAAATTTTAAGGTTTTCTTGAGCAAACGTTAAGTCGAGAGTTACACGGCCTCCCATATGGGCGTGTCTTTGCCCATGTAATGAAGAAATGTGTTTTTCTTCGAGTCGAGAGTTACACTCGGGCTTGTCTTTACTCGTGTAATGAAGAAATGTATTTTTCTTCAAGTCGAGAGTTACACGGCCTCCCACACGGCGTGTCTTTGCCCGTATAATGAAGAAAGATGTTTTTCTTCAAGTCAAAGAGTTACATGGCCTCTTACACGGGTGTGTCTTTGTCCGTGTAATGAAGAAATATATTTTTGTTCAAGTCAAAGAGTTACACGACCTCCCACACGATCGTGTCTTTGCCCGTGTAATGAAGAAAGGTGTTTTTCTTCGAGTCGGAAAGTTACATGGCCTCCTACATAGGCGTGTCTTTGCCCGTGTAATAAAAAAATGTATTTTTCTTTAAGTTAGAAGTTACACGACCTCCCACACGAGCGTGTCTTTTCTCGTGTAATGAAGAAATGTGTTTTTCTTCCGGTCGAGAGTTACACGGCCTCCCACATAGACTTATCTTTGCCCGTAATGAAGAAATGTATTTTTTTTAAGTTAGAGAGTTACACAGCCTCCCACATGGGCATTTCTTTGCCCGTGTAATGAAGAAATATGTTTCTTTTCGAGTCGAGAGTTACACGACCTCCCACACGAGTGTGTCTTTGACCATATAATTCATCGGTCACTCGAAATTTATCATTTTTACTCCATACTTACTTGGTTTTCATTCCTCTCACCAAAATAACGTAATTTACGATCAATAAGGCTGAAATAAATATAAAAATGAAAATATTTCATGATAATAAGAGGTATGAGCATGCTCGAAACCCCGTGTGGGTTGGACCTATAAAGATATATGAAGTCGGATATTGTATGGGTTAGATATGTTTCATATGGTACATATAACATCACGTGCATCACGTGCATTGTGAGGTAAATGGAGAAAAGTCAATTGAATGAGAATTGGTTTACACAATTAGGTTTGGTAACCTAACACGAAAAATAGATATTAGCAGATTCAAATGTGTGCATACTCTAAGCTATGTGCATGCACTCGTTAAGTGATGCATTCTCACTAATAAGTGGCTACAATGAGGGATAATTTCATTGTAGTAGAAGGTGATTTGATAATCACCTAAATTAAAAATAGAGTAGACTAGCTAATAACCGGGGTACTTGAAATTAAAATTGATGAGTATGGTGAGAAGTCGGAAAAGCCTTGCATATCATGTGCATCACCCCACTTACTAAGCTTCAACTCACCCCATCATTATTTCTATGATGTAACGAGAAGATAAAAAAATAGTAAAGATGCAGTAGGTTCCTCCTAAGAGGCTCATGTGTAACACATGAAGTCGAAAGAAGTTTTGTCTATAATTTGAGGGTATGGAATCCGTACGGACTCGACCACTATTTATAAAATTTTGTTATCGATGCGCACGGTTCTTCCTAAGAGGCTCATGTGTAACACGAGAAGTCGAAAGAAGTTTTGTCTATAATTTGAGGGTATGGAATGCATGACGGACTCAATCACTATTTATAAAATTTTGTTACTCGTAATTAGTTATGTCATGTAAAATTTTATCGTATGCGGTTTTGTTTTGTAATGTGCTATTAATTTCTTAAGTACAACGTACGAGACATGATTAGGGTCTAGGTAGTGTCAGCATGACGCACCTTGCCTAGTCACTTCTATTTGTGTAATAGATAGTGGATCGAGGTCGTGGTGTCACAATTTCTCTTAATATGAAGAAATTCTTCAAAAGGAAATGGAAGGACCATGAAAACCATGAACCATGATAGCCATGAAATCTTTTTTTCATTTTCCTTTAAAAAATCATGAAACAAATCTTTTCATTGATTTGAAACCTTTCCATGACTTGGCATGCACATACATTTGAGTGTAATTGCATAATTTGTATGAGTCAATGTAATGCATCCTCCGAGTAATATGCATTTGTACCATAACATTACATACTTCAACAAGTATAAATTGCACAACAAGAGTCATTACCTTATAATCCATGACTAACCATTCAAGGTACACAATTCAATCACAAAACAACTAACACGATGTATCACATAATATCACATTTTGTAACGTCAATCAAATCACAACACATTGCACCAACCATTCATCTATTTCACAACTTTCATAAGCATACACAATCATGCCAAAAACACTTAATTGCACATTTAAACACACGCATTGTAAATATTTTGTCATGAAATCACCAATTACAACATTCACACATAAATCAACTTCTAACCCTAATTGTTCTATGCTTGGTCGAATGTACCCTTAAGCTAAGCTAGATGAATTTTCTCATTTTAGTATCAATTTTCATGCTAAATCATCATATTATTCCTCACTCATATGAATTCTACCCATTACACATTCAAACACCGAAGTCATTCAAAATCCTCATTTCGTCACTTTAGGTCGAATTTACACCTAGGTTAAACTAGGTGAAATTTTAAATTTTAATGTAATTTTTCATGCTAAGTCATTTATTTACACTTCAATAACATGTAATCAATCAACTAAGCATCAAATAAACAAAAGCACTAAAAATTCTCAAATTTTCTATTGGGTCGAAACTTCCTCCGGAAATAAGCTAAGGATTTTCTTGTTTTTTCTTGCTTGTTTTGATGTCCAATTAGCATTTTCAACTTCAATTTCATCAATTTCACCTTCTAATTCATTCGACCTAAATTACTTTCATCAAGAACCTTAACCCTAATTCACTAAATTAGTTGAAAAAAACTAATAGTTAACATTGAAAACATGTTCTCGTGATATAGGTGAGATTAACTTACCTTAAAAGCTCCAAATTAGTTCTTAGTAGGTTGGATTTCCTTGGAAATTTTCTTTCCCCTTTTTCTTCCTTAAATTTCCGCTAAGTTCCAACTTTTTCTTCTTTGAAAATTTTGATCTTCTAACTAAAATTATGGGCTATGTGTTTTAAGGTGATTTTAGGTGTTTAGGTGGAATCTTTTGAAAATTTCCCGAAAAATTTTTCAAGATTTTTTCCTTGTTTTTTGAAATTTTCCAACATTTTCTTCCTTTCTCATTAGTTGAATTGATAGGTATAAATGAGTGGACTCGTTGGCTTGTTTGACATGATCTCCACCCTTCATTTGCTTTAATCTCCGCCTTTGATTCATATTTTAATCTTAACCCTTCATTTTGTTTAATTTTTATCATCTATCCTTCTTTAAATCTTAGCCCTTCATCACATTAATCTCTAGCTATCCATTTGATTACATCATTTAATATGGGTGTGAGGTGTCCGGTTTTGGTGGAAATATTTGACCTAAAAATGTCAATTTTAATCTCTTAATTTATCATACTTTTTTAATTATACCTACTTTTAGTCCCTTCAATTTTAATCGACAACTTTTGATCGTTCCATAAGGTTTAGTGGGATGAGTCTAACAGTTTTGAAATTGACAACTCATAAATTACCACGTGGCAGAGTTGGTGCTTACTATCACTACAGATCCGGATAGATTTCTCGTCCGGTAGCTTTTTGGAATTTACTTCGATCAAGTTATACTTATCTTTTTCTTTTTTTTCTTTTTTTCATGATTTGAACCTCGAACTTTATTGATTGAACTAGTTATTAGTAATTCTTCCTTAAGTTTTGGCCAAGTTTCAACTTTTTCTTCCTTGAAAATTTTGATCTTCCAACTAAAATTATGGACTTAGTTATGTGTTTTAAGGTAGTTTTAGGTGTTTAGGTGGAATCTCTTGAAAAACATTTTTCTTGAAAATTTCTTGAAAATTTTTCAAAAGTTTTGCCTTGTTTTTCCAAAATTTCCAACATTTTCTTCCTTTCTCATTAGCTGAATTTATAGGTATAAATGAGTGGACTATTGGCTTGTTTGACATGATCTCTATCCTTCATTTGCTTTAATCTCCACCTTTGATTCATCTTGTAATCCTAGCCCTTCATTTTGTTTAATCTTTGTCATCCATCCTTCTTTAAATCTTAATCCTTCATAACATTAATCTCTAGCCATCCATTTGGTTACATTATTTAATATGGGTGTGAGTTGGCTGGTTTTGATGGAAATATTTAGCTCAAAAATATCAATTTTAATCTCTTAATTTATCATATTTTTTCAATTATATTCCTATTTTTAGTCCCTTCGATTTTAATCAATAACTTTTGGTACTTCCATAAGGTGTAGTACCATGAGCCTCAACAGCTCTGCAACTTACAACTCATAAATTACCGCGTGGCAGAGTTGGTGCCTACAATCACTTTTATAAGGATCCACCGTCGTGCCACAGTCCAGATAGTTTACTTTGATCAAGTTATACTTGCCACCGGTGCCTCCTACCACCCACCCACCCCCCCGGCGGGGGTTTCAACCCCGAACTTTATTAATTGAACTAGCTAGTAGTCATGAATAATGATCTCTTGCAATACAGTATTCTATTTTTAATTTCTATGATCTAATATAGCTAAAATTTAGTCATGTACTGGTGCAATAATCATTGTTTTGTTGAGAGTACGTTAATAAGGAATAGAGTAATATGGGAAAAAAACTAATGTTTCGCCCTAAACCTAAACACAACATTGCAAATCAAAGACACCGATTCATTCCCCCAAAAAATCAACGTTTCATACAAACTACGAAGTCTCAAATATATGGGATATTTAAGTAAAAAGAAAAAGAAAAGAAAAGAAATCTGCAACGTTCAGCCGCAGCAGGGGAACAGTATTAACTTCTGGAAAAATCCCCCTATTTATTTCATAAGCTCCATTTTCTCCTGTACAAGCCATTAGCAATTCTTGCTTAAGTAGCACTAATTATTCAAAATACCCTTGAGACGGTCCAGCCCTTCAGCAGATATACTCCTCCTCCTATGGTTCTTGGGAATTTCAATCTTGGGAGGTGGATCAGGGGAGAAACAGATCACCAAAACTGTCAGGTTGTCGCATGTGTTGCGCTGGAGTGCTTCTGTGACAAGAGATTTTGAGCACCTCTGAGGATCATTATGCATCATTAGCTCCTTCCTAACCATTGTGACTGCACATTGGCTGCTCATTACATCCCATAGGCCATCACAGCCTAGTATCAGAAACTCATCTTCTTCTGTCAGGTTAATCTCCTCCAACTCTGGCTCAGAACTTAAGGGGCTGTTCGAACCTTTAGAGCCTTTAATGTGCCAGTCTCCAAGAGCACGAGCCACGGATAATTGGCCATTAAGGTAGCCATCATAGATGACCCCTCCTAATCTCTCAATTCTTTGTCTTTCTGAGCTGCAATTGGGCTTGTGGTCCTTTGACAGCTCGATCGCTCTTCCTCGTTTGCCCAACACAGCTCTTGAATCACCAACATTAGCGATGAGCATGGTCCTACACAAATGCAGTATAAAGCCAAAAAATTGTGACAAGGTACCTCAGAACCAACAATTCCAAAAGAAGTACGGTTTCTCACCTTCCCAAAATAAGGGCCATCAAGGCAGTGGTGCCAGAGGAACTGTCAATAGATTTGGTATTGGCAAGTGCGTGATCAGCCTTCACAAAGGCACACTTAATTGCCCTCTTTGTTCCTGAGGGAAACTGGGTGTCTTCAACAATGAATTTAAGAATGTTCTCTCTGGTAAAAGAGGCTGCATCAATGCCACCATGTCCGTCAAATACCTGCGGAAATAAACAATATAAGCATACCGACTTAGTGAGCCCTATAATACATAAGGCCAATTGTTAAGGAAGATGTACCGATGCCTCTTATCAACTGTTTCATTATATGTTGAAAACAACCAAATTCTGGGTGTATTACAGCGTATGTAGAAAAAACCAGTGACAGCCAAGAACTGGCTAAGTCGTAGTCAGGAAAATGCAATGGAACAAGGAGGAATAACTCAAGTATTCTAACCTAACAACAACTTACACACCCCATAAAATGCACCAGGAGAGGGAAATTCCGCTAATGTAGCAAGATGTTTATGTAGATTATCTACACATATATGCTCATCCTCCATGTACTGCTTCGGTCCTTTCTCCGACCAGCTTCCAGAGCGAAAAATAGGTAGAAATGCAGAATTTTCGGTTGATGGTGAGACCAATCCCAAAATTCCACTTTCTGATTCCTACATGGACAATAGTCGAGGGGCAATTAGCTGAAATCTGCATTGCATCCATATCCAAATGATCTATCAAACTTTCCTCCAAGAAACATATATTCTTGAAAACGCATCAACTTGTGCGCTTCACGAGACAAACACACGCACACAAAATATTTGTGCAAGGCTAAAGAGAGGTGAACACAGTCTTCTCAAAATTAATCGCCAGACATTACTTTCTTACTTACTAAATTCATTGTTTCTAATTATAGTCTAACTCTTCGCACATTTGTTCCCCTTATCGATTCAGCTCACAGTTTTGCAGTCGAACTCTGCTCTTTTGCAGGTTTTGCAAGCTTAATTCTGAAAAAAATAGTAGTACTTGACCACAGCAGTACCTTGAAAAGATCGGTATGGATTAATTTCTAATTTCAAGAAAATGTTACCTAACATCCTAATTTGAGGAAAAGTTTTCTAGCAAGGGTTTTTCTAACTTTTGTTTCAACCTTGAGCAATTTTGCCAAAAAACAATTAAGCATTTAACTATCAAACAAAGTTAAAATTTGCAAGCTAAAATAATATGGCAATTTCATTTCAGCTAAATCAAACCACCCCACTTCATCACTTGATTGAATGTACGGAGCTCAATCCATAAAGAACAAGGTTTAAAATACCATGGATAGGAAATAATATTAACTTATATTAGAACCTCATTCAACAAGAACAGAATGATAAAAAAAAAGGGCGGATAAGAAGAGAGATTAACTCACAAAATCTGTAAAAAATGCAGAGCTGCTACAATGCCTGACCATTTTGATGTTTCTTGGAGGTTTACCAGTACTCAATTGGTTCATATGATCCAAATTTTCATCCTTTTCATCTTCCATGTTAGACACACTGCCTTTACTAGTACTACCACACCCCCCATCCAATCTTTCTATCTGAAGTGAAGCACTAGTCCCTTGAGTCATTCTCCAAGTCTACTCCATTCTCAATTTTAGATACCAAAAAAAAAAAAAAAAAAGCCAAAAACATAGCTTAACAGAAACAATTGGGCAGACCCTCAGACAATGGACAGGCCATTTTTAGATATATCCTAAGAAAACGCCCCAGACAACAAAAACTAGCTGTCCACCAGCTGTTTAAAAGCAAAGCGCACTGGATCCAAGATTCAAATGGTAGCTAAGGGTAAACCATTTCTTTTGCTCCCAGAAAATAATTACACCTCTCAATATCTTGAATTCTTGAAGGAACTAAACACATTTCTTGAAACTTTTACAACATAGATCAAAACTAACAGAAACCCAGATCAAATTTAGTCCAATAAGAACAAGAATCAAACTCTAAAGAAAAGTTTGCGCAATGCATAAGACATTAACAGGAGAAAAACAAGAGATGAAGCACACGAAAATAGGGAAAGGGAGGCCATTAAGAGGAAAGAGAGCGAGTTTAAATTTATGTGGTTGAGTAACCGAGGGACTACAGCATTTTACGGTAGCCATTATCGGGAGTTGAAACTTGAAAAGAAGATGGGATATTGACACGTGTTGTCATATTTTTCTTACAAGAATGCCAGAATGTACATAGGATGTTTTTTTGGCTTCATGGTTCTCCATGTCTGAACTTGGCATTTGATTTAACCATGAGATTGGCATTTGATAATGTTTTTTTTATTATTATTTATTGCCTTCTCTGCGAAATTAGTTGTAACTAAAAATCGTGATGCTAGACAGCTTCATTATTAGGGAACTGGGAGCCGTAGCCATGCGTATATTACTAGATAGGGCCGTTGACTGGTGATTTTGTAAATTGGACCCCGCGCGCTAGAGATGAATGCTGGAGTTCTAGCTCTATCCCTTACCTACATCCCAACACACATTTGCAGGTTATCCTCTGTATCTCCCTTGTGATCCAAGTTTAAGATATAGTTATGATAAAACATAAAATTGCAGTAAAAAACGTACAAGTAATACTTAACTCAAGCATTTAAGTTACATATGAAGAATCTTTACAACTAGTACCCTGAACGGATTGGATCTTGATTCATTTTTTCTTTTTAATTATGATGGAATTAAATGAATCTAATATACAAATGTTATTGTTAAAATCCATTAATTTGTTTATTAAATAAATCAAATATAAATCTATATATTAATTAATTTATTAAATAAATCAAATATAAATCTATCTTGATTCAGTCCTATAATAATTCGATTCGAAAATAACATTAATATTATTTTAACAAATATAACATTTTAACAACATAATATATATATATATATAACAAAAAAAATATAACATTAGATTTAGATTTAGAATTTATTTACTCTAAATGCTAAGAAACATTTTATATATATATTTTTTTTATTTCTATATATTGAGGACTATTCTTTCAAATAATTACATGATTTTTTTTTCATTGTTTTTCAAGTCTCAAATTAATTTTGTAAAACATTGTATAAATGTATGAAAAAATAATTAGTAAGTTGTTACTATTATACTTGTTTTTCTAATTTTCAAATTTTAGATCCAATTCAAACTTGTTATTATATATATATGTGAAAAAAAAAACATTGTATAGATGTTTGAAAAAATAATTAATAAGTTGTTACTATTATTATACTTGTTTTCTAATTTTCAAATTTTTTATCCAATATGAATTTTTGTCCAATTCAAACTTGTTATTATATATGTGTGTGTGTGTATTATATGTAATAGCTGACACTCAATTTACATTGAAACTTGATTTTGAATGTAGCTTCTTTTTTTTTTTTTTTTGAAAAAAAAATAAAATGATAAATCCAATGGATATCGATCTAAATCCAATCCATTAGAATTGAGATCGACAATTGCAAAATTCGAATTTGAATTTTTAAGATTTGATTTGTTCTGTTTCAAAAGCAATTCAAGTTCAATCTACTATAAAGCAATTCGAATATGTCCAATTACTAGTCTTATTATAATTGAATAGGCTCTCAAATTCTCAGTAAAGATAAGTGCTTCCTAAGAATTTAATTAATTAAGAACTAATTAAATAATTTTTTAATTAATGTAATGAGTATCTTTAATATACAAACACACATACATCTTGGTTAATGGTATTATCTCGCGCAAAGCATTAGGGTATAGATTCAAGTTTTTCTTTCAAAAAATCTCAATTTTGTCTAACCTAATTCTTAATTTTATCTTAAACAAAAAACACTATCACTTGAGTCCCTTCTAACAACTATCAATGTTTGTTAAAGAAACTTTCTACTGTTTAATTTGCATATTATAAACAAAAAAGTTTTTGGTTGTGGATGAAAACTCTTTTAATTATTATTGTTATTATTTTTTGAAAAGTAGGATTTAAATGGCTGAAGATCTTTTATTCTAATTTGTGGTTGTTATCATAGTGCAAATTATGGAACGCAATGTAGACTTCTAGTTTAGTACCTATAATAATAATAATGTTATTGTAAAAGTATTGATAATAGAATTATAAAAATAATAACAACAGCAAAACATTTGGAGAGAAATATGATAGAAAAGTAAATTATTTACATTTCTTCACCTAACACATCTATTTGTAGGTGAATATTAAATGAAATTTTAAATTATAAATTTAATAGGGAATACTTTCATACATGAATTGGTGAATTGAATCATGGAGAATAAACATATTCATGCATGAATTGAATCATATTAAAAAATGTGAATAGTTATGGGAAACAAGAATGTTTATGTACATTCGTTATTTTATAACACTCGTTTTTGAATTTTTATGGTACAAGAAATATGCTTCATTAAAACCTTACCAAAAAAATCAAATGGAAAAAAATTATAGTAAAGGAAAAAAATACAATATTCTTTGTACATATTAACTTCTATGTTGGGTCACCCCGTTGAAAACATTATTCAAAATTTCTAAGACGATGCATTCCAATTTTGTGAATTATTTTTTCAAAAGTTGTCATAAGTAATGCTTTAGTGAATAAATATGTAAGATTGTCATTTGATTGAATTTGTTGAGTGTTAATATCATCATTCTGTTAAAGATCATATGTAAAAAATAATTTTAGTGATATATGTTTGTTCTATCACCTTTAACGTATCATTCTTTTAATTAAGTTATACAAGCAATATTATCTTGATATAATATTATTAGAACTTTTTTGCTAGTGATAAATTGCATCTCTTTTGGATATGATATGTCATTGATCTTAGCCAAATAAATTTTCGACTTGCCTCATGAATTGCAAGTATTTCTACATGGTTTGGAGATATAACGGATATAGTTTACTTCATAGAACGTCATAATATAGCTATATCACAATGTGTAAATAAATAACTAGTTTGTGATCAAATTTTATGTGGATCAAATAAATAATTTACATCTACAAAATTAATTAATCGTGACTTTGATTTATTTGAGTAAAATAAGATCATATAATTTGTTTTTAAAAGATAATGTAGTATATGTTTAATTTCATTCTAATATCTCCATAGTGGAGTAAAACTACGTCTTACTAATAAATTTATAGAAATACTATATTAGGTTAAATATTATTAGTAAGATACGTAGATGCACCAATTGCACTAAGGTATAGTACTTCAAGACCAAAAAGTTCTTTATTCTAGAGGTCAAAAAAAGTCTTTTTGAATATCAAATAAACGAATAACTATTGAACTAGTCAATAGATAAGTCTTATCCATGTAGAATCATTGTAGAATATTTCCTATATAAGTTGACTGATAAACAAAAATCTCATCCTTTAAGTTTTTGGATTATAGGTCTTTCATGTCAAGTTTTCTTTTTGAATAACTTATAGCACTTAAAATATTTTTAATTTGGCAAATGAAATCTTTTTAAGATTTTCCATAATATTTAAATCATCAACATATATATAAATTACCATGAACCCTTTTTTGAATTTCTTTATAAAAACACATGAATAAATAGGATGTTTTTTATAATTCAACATATACTCACTAAGGTAAATATACCACATGCATCTAGATTGTTTCAATTTATATAGAAATCTATGTAATTTAATTGAATAAATTTTTCAAAAATATGAACTACATGCTTCAAGCATCTTAATATATATATATATATATATATATATATATATATATATCAAGTGAACTATACAAATAAGTTCGATCACATCCATTAAATGTATATAAAGTTTTTCATATATTGTCGAGCTAATAAGATAACAAATTTAATTGCTTCTATTATAGGAGAATATATTTTTTCATAGTCAATGTCGAGTCTTTGTAAAAATCTTTGAGCTACAAGTCTTGCTTTGTATCTCATAATTTCTTTTTTTTTTTTTTTGGTACAAATATCCATTTGTATCTACTAACTTAACATCTTTAGATATTTTGACTATGAGTCCAAATATTGCTTGTTTTGTAAAAAAAAATTAATTCTACCTTGATTGTATCTTTTCATTTAGGTAAATCATCTCTAAAACGATATCTTTTAATAGATTTAGACTCAAGATCCTTATTTTATTCAAAATATCAATTGCAATATTATATGCAAAAATACTACCAATAAATGTTTCTTCTCGTTTCTAGTTTCTCTCTCGTATTGACATAATTTATCGAACTCTCTTTATTTTTCTCATTCTGATTTCAATCATTTGGACTTTTTCTAAAACCCTTCTATATCTTGAACCATTTTGTTATCTCGTCACCTTTATATTTTTATCTTGATTATTTATCCTTCTTTTTTTTTTTTTGATGATTTTTATCTTTAGAACCGATCGGTCTTCCACACTCGGACATGCTTTAGATTTATTTGGTATAACATTAATAGATTGTCTTATTAGAGTATTAATTATAATAAGAGCATTCTTAGCTAAGACAACCGATTTATTTACTCTCTTAGTAGCGAGAAAATGTATCTTATAGTTGATTTGTAAGACTTTATAAATAAATATCCTCTAAACTACTAATTCATATTGTTTTGATCTAGGAT